AAAAAAAACAAAAACAAAAAAAACATCATTTAACACATATATATGAACAATAAGAATTTACGATTACAATTTCTTTTTTTTTTCTTTTCATTCACAATCCGCGTAAAATCATTTTTTTTCTACCTTCATCCTTCACAATTTTTTTGTATATACAAACAATTAGACTTTTATTTTCAAGATTATATGGCGATAAGAAAATTACGATCAAATTTTTTTGCTTTTTTTACTTACGTTTAATTTTGTAAAAAAAAAATACACATATTATAATATATAAAAAAAAAAACTTTATTAAAAAAATCAAAAATATATAGTATTAAAAATTTTTTTTTATCTTTTCGATTTAATATTAATAATAAATAAAAATTGAGGAAAAAAGCAAAAAATTTTGCGAGTTTTCGGAAAAGCATCAAAAAAAAAAAAAAAGTGTTTCTGAATTTTAAAAAAGTGTAAATTTTTCAGTGTTTTTTTTTTTTATTAAATAATCAATCTCTACGATAAATTCAAATAAAATTTTTTCCTGATATGTTCCTGATAATACCGTAAATCTAATAATCATCAGTATACTAACAATTTTATTAACAGTTGTTGTAAACTTTTTTTAAAATATTTCGCGTGGTTTTCAGTAAAAAGCTTTTCTTAATTTGGGTTGTAAGATCTTCAAAAAAAAAGACTTGCACACAAAATATTACCTTTGAAAGAAATCCATTATTATAATGAAAATTTTCTGCAGTCACCTCATGTTATTGCTTTGACATTTTTCATTTTTCCCACAATATTATTTTTTTTTTTGCGTTTATTGGCGCAGCATTCTTTTTTTCCCGCCATTTTCCATTAAGAAATTCCAGAAAAACAATCTATAAAAGTTGAATCATGTGAATGTAACATAATATGAATGATTCGGGATATTCGGAAAGAATAGGAACATGTGCTTGAATGTGCTTTGTTTTCATATTAGTTTTCCCTTCTTTAAAATGGGATCAATGTAAAAAAAAAAAAATACAATGTCTTTAATTTAATATGATTATGGGATTTATTATTATTATTATTAATCGATTTTTTTAAAACCTCCCTTTTTTTTTTTTTAAATTACGAATACAAACTCACATTGACACATTCTTATCCTTAAAAGTTTTGACCATATTAGGATAAAAAAATATTGAATTTTTTTATTTTTTTTTTTTTTCAAACAAATGCAATTTCCCCACATAATTTTCTTTGACCATTGTTGTTTCTCAAACTGAAAAAAAAAGGATCATTATAAAAATATATATGTAAATATAATATAATAAATATAATAAATATATATAATAAATATAATAATTGTTACTTGTTTGACGTATTTAGACATCAAAGAAAGGTGACACAGAGAATTTTTTTTTGAGGGGGGAAAGAAGGGGAAAAGGGAGAAAAATAATAATAACGATAAAAAAAAATAAAGTTATCGTGGTGTATCAAAACAAAGTTTTTGTGCATTGTTTAGAATCATTAAAGAAAGAAACAAAGGAGAAAATTCAAAATATCACTAACATATTTTCCCGTTGTCTTTTGAAATAACACAAATCTTTTGGTTCGGCCGATTTTTTTTAGCAAGTTTATAAACTATTTTTGGAAATTATAAATAATGCATGTAAATTTTTACTGTATAAAAATTTATAAAATTAAATTAAAATTCTTTGTAAATTATTCATATTATTCATATTATTACATACTGTATATTGAATTTTGAACGATTGTTTTAAAAATTATAAAGTCTTTATTCAAATTAATACATATTATTCTTATTTCTTATTATTATTCTTTATTATTCTTTATTTATTCTAATATTCTTATTATTCTTATTATTCATATGAATTTTCTCTTTTAACCGTTTCCCTTCTTTACTTTTCGTTATAATATTATAATATTATGCTTGGTAATAAATAATTCTATTACGTACATTGATAATTTACAAATAAATAAATCTATCTAATAATTCTATCTATATTTTCTATATTTGATTAAAAAAAAAAGCTGATTAAGTTTTATCTGTTATTAATATTAATCTTACATGTTGTAAATGATATTAATAATCACGAATCATAGTAAAAACATATATGTGTTACATCTATTACATCTAATTTTAATGGTTACGGTAACATAACATTTTTTTTTTTTTTTTTATTTTATTAGGTAGAAAAAATTCAGTAATTGGGAGATTTCATAATTTAGTAATAAATATATGGAAAATGTAAAAAATTTTATATGATATTAATATAATATACTGTATATAAATTTTTTTTTTTTTTTAAAAAAAAAAANTAAATTACATCACATCTTTTTTATTTTATTTATTTTATTAGGTAGAAAAAATTCAGTAATTGGGAGATTTCATAATTTAGTAATAAATATATGGAAAATGTAAAAAATTTTATATGATATTAATATAATATACTGTATATAAATTTTTTTTTTTTTTTAAAAAAAAAAAGTGATTAAAAAAAAAAATTTACAGTTTATTGATTTTTATTATGCCAAAATTATTAAGAATACTTGAAATGTATTTTATAATAAATTTTATATACTTTAAAAATTGTACTAATATATATATTTTATTTAATCTACTTTACTAGCAAATGTTTTTAATAAATCTAATCACAATACAATTATTATACTTTTTAAATTACAGTAATATTTTTATAAATATTCCCTTTTTAATTTAAATTCTTTTGTAAGTTTAAAATAATAGAAATTAAATAATATTAAAATTCAGAATTCAAAAAAATTTAAATTACTTATTGTGTTAAACTGAAGTTTTGATTTAAATTAATATAATTATTTTAAATTAGTTAGTTTTTTGGCTAATAATATTGATTAGTTTTGTTTAACCTTTATTATATGTATAATATAATACTATAGGACTTGAGGTTCCTAAGAGAATCTGACTTTTGACATTGATATGATTCTTTAGAATCACATGGATTTAATAGTAATTGATATAATAAACGAATGTTTTTGATAATGTAAAAAATATTTAACTTCCTAATTATTATCCCCTAAAATATGTAATAAAGTAGAGTAAGAATCAATGCCTTTAAACACACATTTATAATTCCTTATTTTTGGATAATAATTATGTATATATTCTTTGAAACACCAAAAAATTGACTCTTAAAATAGTTAATTATAATATGAATGTTACTAACATACCTTGAATGTTGATTTAGTCTTTTCTTTATATAATAAACTAAAATTTGTTGCATTTCTTCAATTGCTCTTTCTGGTAAATCATTTTCACACGTCAAATGATCAAAAATAGGCAAAAAAAATGGCGCAAATCGCATAAACTATTCGCAAATTTGTATAAACTATTTACAAATAGTATAGGTTAATTCGTAAATAGCCAAAAACAGCCAAGAATAGCCAAGAATAGCCACTGCTTTTCGCGCCATTTTTTTGCCAATTTTTAGCATTTCGACCTGTGTTTTACACTATTAGTATCTTTAATTATTAACATATGTCTTACTAAACCCAAATTTCTTTTAAAAATTTTCTTATATATCCTATAGAACCTTGGATATCTAATATAAAAGTCATAATGGACTTTTGGCCAAAAACACCTCTTTTTGCTAAAACTTAAAAAATCATTTTTTGTAAATATCTTAGCATCTAGTGGTCCAATTTTGATAAATATTTTTTTATTTTGGAGCTCTTATTTAGCTCTATAATTTTAAAAAAATCATCAAAATTGGATCACTATATGCCAAAATATTTACAAAAAATGATTTTTTGAACTCTTGAAAAATGGGTAAATTTGCCAAAAGTGTGACTTATGACCTGTTTTGGAGATATCTGGGGTTCTTATTTTATATTCCAATTTGTTGCAAGACACGTTATTTGAAGTTAAGGATATAAATACAATTATTTGGCAAATGTTGCTATAAAAAATATAAAAATGAAAGTTTTATAAACAAAATATTTATAAAATTTTTTAACTACCATATTTGTCCAAAAATAAGCAATCACTGAAAATAAGCAACATAGCTCACATTATAACAAATTTTAGCTCACATTATCAAAACTTAACCAGCATTATATATAAAAAACTTGTTGCTTATTTTTAGGCAAATATGGTACATTAATTTTTTTCTAATTACTTACTTGAAATTTATTAATGGATTTCTTACTTAATTAATAAGTTCCTTAGTATTTTACATATTAAAGTTTTTTTTATTTAAAATATTCATAAAAATAGAATGGAGTTTTAGAAATCAACAAAAATTTTAAGCTATTAGATTTTATAATTTATATTACACATAACAAAATTTAGTAACATAAAAATCAGATCTAATTTTTTCAATCAGCTGATATGTAATTTTTTAGAAAATATTAGAAAGACACTATAATTCTTTGTTGAAATATACAGCTTAATTATATATATATACTAATTTACTATAGTGTAATTTAACTTATACTAATCTCTGTACCTTTACACTATTGATAGTAATGTCTGTAGTAAAATTCTTTTAATTTCAATGATCAATAAAATTAAACTTACAACCTTACTATAATCAGATTTAATGAAAAAGTGCTATTTTAATAAGAAAATCAACCCTTTAAAAAATGCTATTAATTATATAAATTAAAATAGAGAAAATTTATTCCTCATTCAGGTGATTATTCACCCTCTATATATTATTAGTATTTATTTACGTACTTGTATAATAAATTATAATGATTAGAACCTATACATTTGTATTATAAACTAAACAGTATATTGTGTTCTAAATTATAAGTCACAGTTACGTATTTTTCATATGCATGCTACATAATACTCACCATAATAATACTTGCTTTTGCATGTTTCTTTGCTTTTTGTGCTTATTAATCATGTTTTATGAATTATGAGGTTGCACCTTTTACAAACCTATTAATTATGATGATAATAATAAAGAATATGTTGTTAAAAGTGTATTAAATACTGAATTTAAAGATTATTATATTGGTGGCTTTTTGTTGTAGTCATAGATATTGATATAATCATGTGATAATCATGTGATACAGATAAATAGTATCAGATAATAAGTCACGTGATAAAAGGATAAAAGTCACATAATAGAAGTCATGTGACATGATATAATGATAGTAAGTCACGTGATAATAGGTCACGTGATATAATATAATATTTATGATATAATATTGAAGTTTGCTATTTATAACTACTGGTGTTTGTCACCAGTATCATGTGATCAACATTATATCATCTGATTAGTATTATATGCGCAGCAAATAATAAAAATATGTTTATTAAATTTACAAGTTTTCAAATTTACAAGTTTTCGATTACATTCCTACTTTTACTCTAAACCTAAGCAAAACATTTTATCATGTTTTAATTCTAAACAAACATACCTTACCCTAACCTTACCTTAAACTCCCTAAGCCAATGCAATTGTTTTAGCCACGTTTTAATCCTAAACAAACATTTCTTACCCTAATCTTACCCTAAGCTTCGTAAGCCTACGCAATTTTTTTAATCATGTTTTAATCCTTAACAAATATTCCTAACCTTACTAAATATTCTCTTTATTTTCGACCATATCAGCCTTATATTTAGCACAACTTCGGATATTGTGACCTTTAACAAAACAATATCTACAGGTTCTTTGAATATTCTCAACAGACGTATTCTTTGATTCTTCAATAGATGATTTAAGATGTTTAGACCTTTTGTTTTTGTGATATTCAGGATTAGATATTTCAGGAAGTTCAGCTAAAGGTTCTCTTGAATTTTCTGTAAAAGATCTTTGGAGATCTTGCAATAATATACCCGAAAAAGAAATATCATTTTTAATGTTTTCAATGCTTAAACCTGTTCCCCTATGATACTTCATAATAAATTCTGTTAACAATCCAATAAATTCTGGTGTAACATCTTCTTTTACAGCAATTTGAACACTCGTTTTTACCACAGACATCGCATTGCCATATTTAACTTTTTTGCTAACTTGTTCCCTAATAGCTGGCATATACACATCATCTGTTCTCAAATAAGTAATGTAACTCAAAGGTACTGATGAATGCTTTCTTTCTCCACTTACAACTGTAATAAAACCCATTAAATTAGATGGAACCTGATTAAACCAACACATATGAATGAAAGACATATGAAATATAGCTTTTTCGGATTGAATTAGTATCCTATATTGATGATGACACAACATTCCTTAATTTACAATGAACATGCAAGTACATAGCGAAGTTGAATCCTCAAGTATAATAACATAATGTGACTTAGAAGATTTTGATGCAATATATGATACTTCTCAGATTTCCTTAATGTTATTGTAAGGTATATTGTTAAGGAGTTCTTTCAAATGAACCTGTGATATATCATATGAATGTTCTAATACACCTTCAAAATTTCCATCATCTTCTTTAATATATTCAAATGAAATTAAGGTTCCTTGATAAAATAATGCTTGATTTATCTGAGTTCTTTGAATAGATAAAGGAATTGGTGATAAATATGCTTGTAATACTAAATCAATTTCTTTGAAAATTGTATTATAAGTAGAAGGAAGTCCAATTGATGGATTTGTTCCATAGTAATCATTAATGCGAGTATTTAATTGTTACTCAGCACGAAGTGCTGAATAACTGTTGTATTTGCAATAAGCAATATCACTGGTCAAAAACTAATATATTAGATAGCAGATATATATCAGATATGTACCTGATATGTGTAGTATTAATGCTGAAAATCGGGTACCTGATATGTGTAAGATATGTGTAAATATATACAGTCAACTCTCTTTATAGTCACACATTTGGGACAGTCCATATTTGGTGATTATAAAGAGATGTGACTATATAAAAAATTTCTTATATTTGTATATCATAATTCAGGCCAAAAATTAACATAATTTTAGCCAGAATTATACTTAAAACTTTATTGTATCGTAACTTCGCCAATATTAATCGTAGAGAGATGATCTTA